GCCAAAGTTCTCAGGAAGACTGACGGGAGAAATCCAATTAGTGTAATTTGCTGCCCACAACCAAGGACAAATGAAGTTAGAAAATGAGCCTTATTTTGATCAGTTCTTTTCTAGTAAAATAATTATGTTATATTAATCAGGTATTTAATAAAAAGACCATCTTTTAATCATAGGAACTGAAGTTTGCTGGCCTATGTTCCTGTCAAATACACTTCAATATATAATCTTTTGGTAAAATCAAGTTTGACAACCTTCCTAGGGTTTGAATTTTAAGAAAAGTTTTTTTTAACCTGGAGTTGGCTGTAGGTGATTCCAATAGGCCCTGGAATGCCTCAAGATCTTCCTACAATGGAAACCAGGGACCAATTTCTTAAGAACTGTGTACTGGGAATCTCTTCTACTTTAATCTCTCTCAGGTTAGAAGGCCTCCTGACCCAAGGCCATCGTGAGTTTCCAGTGCATCGCCATCGACCCGAGGACTACGTTTGTTCTAATCACGACTTGGAAGGGAAGCAAGTTGGATCCCTCCTGGGAAGGACCCTACCTGTCTTGCTTACCACAGAGACTGCTGTTCGGACTGCAGAGCGAGGTTGGACCCATCACACACGGGTTAAGGGTGGACACACCTCAACTTGGACAGCCATACCAGGACATGTCCCCTTGAAACTGACGCTAAAAACTGTGAGCTGTCTTAATAACCATGGTGTACTGGGCTCTATTTGCTTTAGGAATCTGGCAAATTGCAGGGGCTTATAATGCGGGCTGGAGAAATATGTACAATCTGGATCATGCTTACCCAGTTAAGTTACTGGTTATAGATCACTTGAATGACTTGGATATTTCAGCCTTTAGGTCAAAAGATTGGCTAGGACTAGATTTAGGAGTAGATGTCCCAGGACAAGATCCCTTAGTCCCATGGTTGGCAAACTGCAGCTCTCGAGCCACATTCGGCTTTTTGGCCCCTTGAGTGTCTCTCTTCCTAAGCCTTAGGAGTACCCTAATTAAGTTAATAACAATGTACCTACCTATATAGCTTACGTTTAAAAAATTTGGCTCTTAAAAGAAATTTCAATCATTGTACTGTTGATATTTGGCTCTGTTGACTAATGAGTTTGCCGACTACTGGCCTAAGGCATTGGCAGCTTTAGTGAAAAGTGAGCTGGAGCCTGGGATCGAGGTCCTTTCTCCGATGCACTACAGCATGGTGTCCACCCTCACCCCTTTGATTAGGAGCTGCAGTGATGGGTGTCACATCCTCCCATGTGTGTATGGGGGATCTTACCCAAGGGTTAATTGGAACCGCATTGACCAAACAGCAAGTTAGTCTCCTCCTGGACACTGCAGAGCATGAAAGTCAGTGAATGTCAGCCGTGTTTGAAGAAAAGTGTTTAAATAAAGAAAAGGGGGGAAATGTGAGAATAAACAAGTCATCCCTTTTCTGTCAAAGACCAGTTTAGACAGCCGCCATTTGGGGCTGTGTGACTTGGCAGCCGCCATGTTGGCCGCATGGCGTGCCGCTCCCCTGGGGGCCGCCATCTTGAGACAGCAAAGGCTAACCCCTCCCTCTGAATTAGCCAATCACGAAAGCCTGTGCACCTGAGCTCCAATCAAGAGCAAAGGACAGGTCACGTGGGTCAGGGGTTATAAGCCCGCCTGCTCGGTGCCTGCGCTTCCAGACTATGTGCGCACCCTTCTGCGTAGAAGTGAAGATGTCTGCCTGCGGCCTGGCTCCCGGGTGTGTTTATGCTTCGTGTTCCGCCAGGACCCCTGACTTGGGGGCTCACCTTATTTCTGACACTGGGCCACCTCCCAGCACTGCTACAAGGTGCAGGGTTGACCAGCCAGCACTCTATTCAGAAAAAAAAAAGATGTTTGGAATGAAATTAAGAATTATCCAACCTGTGGGAAGAACAGTTGCTCCAGTCCCTCGCTCATCTGCCTGGCTCCTGGCTGCAGAGCCGTCAGGGAGGGCCCTGCGCACCGCCCAGCTGTGCCCTCAGTGCCACCCACTGAGCAGCACACTCCTCATTGAAGCACAGGGACAGGGCCATGCTGAATCAGCCTGAGCGCCTGCTCTGGGAGGCTCAGGAAGAACTCTCCAGACGTGGTGCAGCACCGGACGCCTGGCTGATGCTGCTGGATTATACACTTCAGAGTGGTTAAAAAGCTAAAATGTACGTTACACATTTTGTTATTGATTTTAGAGAGCAGAAGGGAGAGAGAGAGAGAAACAGATGTGTGAGAGAAACATCGGTTGGTTGCCTCCCGCAGGAGCCCCAGCACATAAGGAACCTGCAACCTGGGTCTGTGCCCTGACCTGGAACCAAACCGCCCACCTTCCCATGTATGGGATGACGCTCCAACCAACTGAGCCACCGGCAGGGGCACATGCAAATGTTACACATATTTTACCACAAGAAAATCTTTAAGAAAAAGGAGGAAGAGGAGGAGGAACATTAGGAGAGAGAGGGAGCGGGGGAGGAGGGGAGGAGGACAGGGAGGAGGAGGGGAGGAGGACGGGGAGGAGGAGGGGAGGAAGACGAGGAGGAAGAAGCCAGCAGTTTCACCACAGAGCGGACAGAATGAGTATCAGGCTGTGCTAGTATTTTTCCTTGCAAAACAGAAAAGAAAACATGTGACCTTCACTAAGTGGAACCTGTTTGAGAGTGTGGCCCTGCACGGCAGCCGTGGTGCCGAGTGCTGACTCTCAGTCCCAGGGCCCAGGCGGCCGTCGCCGCGGCACAGGCTCTCCACAGGAGCGCTCCTGCGACGCAGCAGAGCTAGCTGCAACGTGCTGTCAGTTTCAATGCAGTGGGCTTTAAAACCTGGGAGCCAATTTAGATAAATTACATTCTGAACAAATGGGCAACAAGCATGAATATTCTCTCTTGGGTTTGTGCAATTTACTATGAGACTCTCCTTTTCATTTTATTTAATGATTGCTGCTAAAAGTGACAGGTACTGGCAAGAAAGTTAATTAGAATTTTAAAATTTGTTTTGTGCCCTAACCGGTTTGGCTCAGTGGATAGAGCAGTGGTTCTCAACCTGTGGGTCGCGACCCCTTTGGCGGTCGAACGACCCTTTCACAGGGGTCACCTAAAACCATCCTGCATATCAGATATTTACATTACGATTCATAACAGTAGCAACATTACAGTTATGAAGTAGCAACGAAAATAATTTTATGGTTGGGTCACAACATGAGGAACTGTATTTAAAGGGCCAGAAGGTTGATAACCACTGTGATAGAGTGTTGGCCTGGGGACTGAAGGGTCCTGGGTTTGATCAATTATTCTCTCTCATCACTGATGTTTCTTTCTCTTCCTCTCTGAAATCAATAAAAATATATTTTAAAATCCTATATAATAAAGAGGTAACATGCAAATTAACCCTCACGCCATCACAAGATGGCTGCGCCCACAGCGGAGGCGGGGTTCCTGTAACAAACTGTAACGAGCAATCAGCAGGGACCCAAGGCTGCACCCGGGGGCCCTGAGGCTGTGCCCCCACCTGGCGGGGCTTGACGGGGGTGGGACCAGCCGGGTCTGGATCTTGCATGATTTTGAGGCTTGAGCGGGTGGGCGGGGACTTGACGCTGGGCCCCACCATGTGCCCCAGACTCTGATGGGAGGAAGATCTTCATATACATTTTACTAATTTTCTTTCATCTCTGACACTTCTATTACAGAGAAAGGGCAAATAGCAATATGAAAATAGTTCCTCTAATTAACTCACGTTTAATGTGTATGAAATACTGGGCCACTAGTAAATAAATAAAATTAAAATGTGTTTTCTTTTGAAAAAGACATTTAATCCCTCATCATATCAGATACATCTAAATTATTACATCTTTTTAGGTGCGAAATTGAGACAGGAGCCTTACAATATTATGTGGCCCAATAAAAGATGCAGTTAAGGTCGTTTAAAATCTATGAATAGCAATGTAATATGGTGTAATGTTTAAATCTGTAGGTGCAAACGGCAGGAGGAAAAGGTAAAAATGGCCAGCCCTCGCCTCTGGAGAACAGGACGCAGACATGAACAGGAGCGGGCGCATGGGAGGTGTGGAGGGCGGGATGGCTTGCTGCAGGGGGGCTGGGGGGAGGACCCCCTGGAACTGTTTGCTGCCATGCCTGAGGGACCCCCTGCCTCCCCAGCAGGCGGCGCTGGGGCATCATCGCTGCTCTCCCTGCGCGCCCTCAGAGCTGGGTTCCCAGGCGCCCAGCGGACCTGAACTCTGAGCCCTATTCCCAGTGAAGCCAGCCTGGGGGGGAGGGGGGGACGGCCAGGGGCGGCGAGGCGGCTGGGGGCCGGGCTCTGTGCGGGCGCCGGGGGCGAGGGCAGTGATGGAGGGCGGTGACGGGGCCGGGCGCTCAGGCGGCACATGAAGGGCTTCCTTAAGGAGATGCTAGCGGGCTCCCCGGGAGGCAAAGTGACAGCCGGGAGAGGAGGGGGAAGCGGGAAGGAAGAACCTCGGAATGACGCTCCCCGCCACCACCCACGCCCATCGCACACCCTTCGACCCCAGTGCTCCCAGAGCTTTAATAAGTTGGAGAAAAAAATCCAGAAAACATACAGATGAAATACTCGTTGGGGAGGATGTCCAGAATCTGGGGTGAAGTGGGGGGCAGTAGAGAAGATGAGTGAGTGGCTTTCAGTGGAAGAGACAGGAAAATGAACGCTGGGTGGAGAACACCATCAAGGACGGTCTGGGGTGGGTGTCAGTGGATGAGAGTGCAGGCCCAAGTCAATCCCTGTGTCCACCACAGCCCAGCAAGCCAGGCCTGCAGGTGCCCACACAGACACTTAGAAAAACTAAGGGGATTGGGAGGAAGAGGGAAGAACCATCTCAGTGAGAGATGTTTATGATCTTTTTGTAATTTTTATTTCTGCTGGGAATGGAGAGAGTGGAGAAGAAAATAAACCATCCTTTCCTCTTAGATCCTTTTTTATTTCTACATTTAAAAAAGAAAAGAAAAGGGTAAGACCCTGGAAACAAAGACAAGCCTGTTCACACACTCTAAGTGGCAGTAAGTGGAAATGATATAGATGGGTCCTGAAACCCAGGGCTCTGTCTCAGGCTCCCCTCTCATCTGACAAGACAGATCTGGGCATTGCCCTCGGAGGCTCCCAAACTTCCTCACCTGCCCTGCCCCTCCTAGCACCCAATGCCCTGTATTGGCTCCCACCCCAAGCGTCCATCAAACACTTTCATTCTCAGACCATCATCTTCCACAGAGAACACTTGCTGCTATTACTGGTTCTTTCTTTTCTGTCTCCCAAACTCACATCCTTCTTGCTCATCACCCACTCCCTTGACCATTCTCAATAAGAACACAGCAGATGAAGGGTTGATGCTGTTAACTGTCAGGACTTTGCCCTTCTGGTGTCCAGGAAATAGGAACTGTGAGTCCAATTCCTCCTCCAGGAAGGGGTAGGGCATGGAAGAACTGGGGGTGGGCGCTTTCTAGAAGATCATCGCGGGGAAGGGATCTGGCCCACACCAAGCGTCTGCTGCTCCATCAGGTAGACAGGGTAAGAATTGGGGCCCCCATCCTCCTCTGGGTCATTGTCCTCATGGTTGTGGACCAGTGCACCCCGTGTTCGAGTCATGTAGGAGACCTGGGATTGGGGGGAGAGAGGAGTGAGTATCATCTGCCATGCCATTTGCTTCCTCAACACCCTGCTCAGCCCTTTTCTATTCCCTGATCCTGACCTTCTGCTTGTTTCTTTTCCAAGATTCCATCCAAACTTGATCCTTATTGCAGCCTCTGATCCAATAGAGTCCCACATCTCTTCTCTAATTCCTTCTTCTGTCCTATTTCCCTTGTTCTATCAAATTTTGCCTCCTGTACACCCTTTTTGCTTATCCACAGCCTTCCCCCCATTTCTATATTTTATGTCCCATGCATCTATTTTCTTTCCTCATAATTTTCACCACCACTGCCCCTCTATTGCCACCCTCCCCCACCATGATTCTTCTGCTAGACTCGTTGCCCCCTCTAGTTCTGATCCATAACCTCTCCTCAGTTCCCTCGCCCATGGGTCCATCCCACTGGAGCATCCCTGTTCCTTACCAGGAAGATCAGGCCAAGGAACACCAAGAGGAGAATCACAGCCACCAGGACCACAATAACTATGGCCCATGCGGGGAATGAAGTACTGTCCCCCGTCTCTCCTGCATGAAGACCTCCCTGGGCACCGTCTTTGTTCTGGTAGGCTTGGCTCTGGTCGACTGGGGCTTCTGACATGATAGAACTCAGTTTCATGCTGGAAGTGGGCAGGGTAGACGAGCCAGTGGGCACCTGACCAGTTTTATTTGGACCAGAAGTGGAAGAACTGATAGATTTGTCTCCTGTGACCTTGACTGGAGGCCATGTAGTCTCTATGGAAGCTGTGGTTCTTCCTGGGTTTTCTGTACGCTCTGCTGGGATTGGTGTGGCCCTCCCTTTGGCAGATGTGGTCTTCTTTGTGTGTACTACAGCCTGTCCTGAGGCTCCTGTGGTTGGCTCTGTGGCTGCTGTACTGTGTTGCCCATGGTCTGTAGGCATTGCTGGGGCTTTTGTGATCTTCCCATGGGCCAATGTGCTCTGTTGAACAAGGGTCGATATGCTGTGTTGATCATGGGCTGATGTGCTGTGTTGAACACGGGCTGATGTGCTGTGTTGATCATGGTCTGTAGGCATTACTGAGGCTCTTGTGATCTTCTCATGGGCCGATGTGCTGTGTTGAACTTGATGTGATGTGCTGTGTTGATCATGGTCTGTAGGCATTTCTGGAGCTCTTGTGATCTTATGAGCTGATGTGCTGTGTTGAACATGGGCCGATATGCTGTGTTGATCATGGTCTGTAGGCATTGCTGCGGCTCTTGTGATCGTCTCATGAGCTGATGTGCTGTGTTGAACATAGGCTGATGTGCTGTGTTGCTCGTGGTTTGTAGGCATTGCTGGGGCTCTTGTGATCTTCTCATGAACTGATGTGCTGTGTTGATCATAGGCCAAGGTGCTCTGTTGAACATGGGCTGATGTGCTGTGTTGATCATGGTCTGTAGGCATTTCTGGGGCTCTTGTGATCTTCTCATGAGCTGATGTGCTGTGTTGATCATAGGCCAAGGTGCTCTGTTGAACATGGGCTGATGTGCTGTGTTGCCTGTGGTTTGTAGGCATTTCTGGGGCTCTTGTGATCGTCTCATGAGCTGATGTGCTCTGTTGAACATGGGCTGATGTGCTGTGTTGATCATGGTCGGTAGGCATTACTGAGGCTCTTGTGATCTTCTCATGAGCTGATGTGCTGTGTTGATCATAGGCCAAGGTGCTCTGTTGAACATGGGCTGATGTGCTGTGTTGATCATGGTCTGTAAGCATTCCTGAGGCTCTTGTGATCTTCTCATGAGCTGATGTGCTCTGTTGAACATGGGCTGATGTGCTGTGTTGATCATGATCTGTAGGCATTGCTGGGGCTCTTGTGATCATCTCATGAGCTGATGTGCTCTGTTGAACATGGGCTGATGTGCTGTGTTGATCATGGTCTGTAGGCATTGCTGGGGCTCTTGTGATCTTCTCATGAGCTGATGTGCTGTGCTGAACATGGGCTGATGTGCTGTGTTGCCTGTGGTCTGTAGACATTTCTGGGGCTCTTGTGATCTTCTCATGAGCTGATGTGCTGTGTTGATCATAGACTAAAGTGCTCTGTTGAACATGGGCTGATGTGCTGTGTTGCCTGTGGTTTGTAGGCATTTCTGGGGCTCTTGTGATCTTCTCATGAGCTGATGTGCTCTGTTGAACATGGGCTGATGTGCTGTGTTGATCATGGTCGGTAGGCATTACTGAGGCTCTTGTGATCTTCTCATGAGCTGATGTGCTGTGTTGATCATAGGCCAAGGTGCTCTGTTGAACATGGGCTGATGTGCTGTGTTGATCATGGTCTGTAGGCATTGCTGAGGCTCTTGTGATCTTCTCATGAGCTGATGTGCTCTGTTGAACATGGGCTGATGTGCTATGTTGATCATGGTCTGTAGGCATTGCTGGGGCTCTTGTGATCTTCTCATGAGCTGATGTGCTGTGTTGATCATAGACTAAAGTGCTCTGTTGAACATGGGCTGATGTGCTGTGTTGCTTGTGGTTTGTAGGCATTTCTGGGGCTCTTGTGATCGTCTCATGAGCTGATGTGCTCTGTTGAACATGGGCTGATGTGCTGTGTTGATCATGGTCGGTAGGCATTACTGAGGCTCTTGTGATCTTCTCATGAGCTGATGTGCTGTGTTGATCATAGGCAAAGGTGCTCTGTTGAACATGGGCTGATGTGCTGTGTTGATCATGGTCTGTAGGCATTGCTGAGGCTCTTGTGATCTTCTCATGAGCTGATGTGCTCTGTTGAACATGGGCTGATGTGCTATGTTGATCATGGTCTGTAGGCATTGCTGGGGCTCTTGTGATCTTCTCATGAGCTGATGGGCTGTGTTGATCATGGTCTGTAGGCATTGCTGAGGCTCTTGTGATCTTCTCATGAGCTGATGTGCTGTGTTGATCATGGTCTGTAGGCATTGCTGAGGCTCTTGTGATCTTCTCATGAGCTGATGTGCTCTGTTGAACATGGGCTGATGTGCTGTGTTGATCATGGTCTTTAGGCATTTCTGGGGCTCTTGTGATCTTCTCATGAGCTGATGGACTGTGTTGATCATGGTCTGTAGGCATTGCTGAGGCTCTTGTGATCTTCTCATGAGCTGCTGTTCTGTGTTGATCATAGGCCAAGGTGCTCTGTTGAACATGGGCCGATGTGCTGTGTTGATCATGGTCTGTAGGCATTGCTAGGGCTCTTGTGATAGTCTCATGAGCTGATGTGCTGTGTTGAACATGGGCTGATGTGCTGTGTTGTCTGTGGTCTGTAGGCATCTGTAGGGCTCTTGTAGTCTTCACATGGGTTGAAATTGTGTCTTTTGCTTGTTCTGTAGTCTTTATCAGAGTCTTATCTGAGGCAACTATAGTTGTGTAATTAGCTACTGTATGATCCTCAACACTTTCTTTTCCTTCTGTGGTACCTGTTGCCTTAAATGATGCCTTATATGTTGTGCTTTTTTCTGAGGAAGATGTGGGTTTTTTGTCGATCTCTGAATTGACTGAATGGTAGGTAAGAGTTATGGTACTTTTACTGTCTAAGGTACTGATGGTATTTTCCAAAGGTGTAGTTTGGGGGTGATTTCTTGTTCCTGTTGCTGTGCTGGTTTTGGAGGTAGAACATGTTGTTTTGCTCTTGGGTTTTGGGGTTGGATAGTTTGCATTGGACAATTTTTTATGAGTGATATCGGATTTAGCAGAGCGTCCATTCCGGACAATTGGGTCTTTTCCTTGATTGCTAGGGTTTTGTTCAGAAGTGGGAGGAGGTTCGTGATGCTTTGTAGAGTTTTTGGAGTTATCTATTGGTTTGTGAATTGGCCTGAAATTGTGTGTGGCATTGCAATGGTGTTTGGGCTGATGGGTTTCTGTAGATTTAGGGTGGTCTGGACTACTATGTCTTAAATGAAGAGCAGTGTGGTGAGAGGGAATACTGTAAACAAGGTTTGGAGCAGGAGGGGATAAATGGTCAGATGTTGGGGATTCACCAGTGTTCTGAAGTTCTTGAAGTGTGGTAGCACCTGTAAAGGGAGAGAGTCAAGTAAGAAACTTCCTCCACGTTCTTCCCTGTTTCGCTGCCCACCTCCGTCTCTAGGGGTCCATTTATTACCCCAGATATATCTCCCCATCCAGTCACCTCAGAAAACTATGATATCTAATCCCCATCCTCACCTCCAGTCTCTGAACCTGTTTTCAGGTTGTGCCTTCAGCAAGGACGTTACCTCCCCACTTCTCCACCTCTACTCCCCAATTCTGAAGTTTAGATCTTTCTAGCTTTATAGCATTTTTCCTGATCCTTTCAAGCAGATAAGATCTAGCTTCACCTCAGTGCTAACACTTTGTGTGAATTACTCACCTGCCATGCTAGTTGTGTGTGCCTATCCACCTCTCCCATGCCCTGCCTATCAAACCATAAATCTGAGAACAGATACTGATGGGCATTTTGCTGCACACATGCTCCTTGGGGGTTTATATGGTACTTATGGAATGGAGTTCCCTTTCCATGACAGAGCTGAGAAGAAAGGAAATAAATATCAGAATCTTAGTTTTTCCATAACATTCCACGTCCATCCCAAATGTAACAGCATGAGAGGCTGAGGTCAGACTCTGGCAGAAATTCCCACAAGTATTAGTAAGTAAGCACAGGTGATGAGTGAGAGAAGGATTAAAAAAGGAATGGAAGGAACTTTCATCTTGATGACAGAGTTTGGTCTGGGTGAAGGGAAGTAGAAGAGATGGCTCAACCTCTAGTTCCTTCACTGGAGGCTCCTCTTAGAAGCTCACAGTGGAAGCCTCTGGGAAGATGAAGGTAGCACTCTTTAAGGAAAAGATATCTGCTCAGGGTCCTGAGAGGAGTGAGAGAGGCGGCTGGATTCTGGGAGAAGCTGACTATGTTTAAGGACAGGGTGTGAGGGAAAACACCCTATCAATGAACAGATATGGGCCTTAATTCCATGAAAAGCAACCATGGGGACAGAGGAGATGTCTCTGAGTGAGAGCCAGGAGATCGCCAAGGAATGAGAGATAGTGTTGTTACATAACCAAGATTTCCAGCTCTGTTAGCTCAAGGCGGCAACCAGAACCTGGACCCATTCCCAGTCAGGGGAAGCCACAGTCCACCCAGCTCCCCGCTGACAAGGACAGTTGGGGGCTAGGGAACTCAGTCCTTGAAAGAAATGTGGGTGGGAGGAGAAGGGGGAGGTAGAGAAGCCCAAGTCCCTGAAGGGACTGGAGGCTGGGGCGCGAGAGGGCTGGACAGTCAGGCCATCCCCTCACTGTGCCGGCCCTTCTCCCACTCCCTCGGCTGCCATGGCCCTCATTCGCTGGACACCTTCTCGGGGCCAGGCCTCCGCGCTTGCCTCACAGACATTCTCTGTCTGGATTCTCCTCCGATTTCCCAGCTCCCCTCAAGGCACCTTAGGAGCTGTCTACTTCCCTATTCACAGCCAAGAAACTTGAATGTCGTGGAGAAATGGTGACTTTCACACGATCCCCGACAACAGCAACGGACAATCTTTCTTTTTTTAAATCCTCACCCAAGGATATATTTTCATTGATTTGAGAGGGAGTGAAAAGGAGAGAGAGAGAGAGAGAGAGAGAGAGAGAGAGAGAGAGAGAGAGAGAGAGAGATTGATCTGCTGCCTCCCATACGCACCCCAACTTGAGAACAAACCCACCTAGGAATCAGACCCACAACCTTTTGGTGTCCGGGATGACGTGCAAGAAACTGAGCCACCTGGCCGGGCACCAACCTTTACTTGACCATCGACTGTGAAACAGGCAGGCCCTACACATGAGTACATGTACTAACTCATTTACTTTTCACAACAACCCTTTGTTACTCTCCCCTTTTATATATGAGTAAACAAGGAGGTTAAGTAATCCCTCCAAGAACCCTCAGCAAGTAAGAGGCTGAGCCAGAATGGAATCCATTCTGGGCTCCTGGTGCCCAGGCCACGCTCGCACCTGTAGGTCAGCCTAGTCCCGGGACGCAGGACGAGTGCAGCCCTCAGCGGGAACCTGAAGGATGCTGTTCTATTTGCTTATTTCATCTTCACCACAACCCTGTGAGGCAGGCGCGTGACCTTGTGGTCTGGCAGCGAAGGAAGGAGCTTCAAAGAGATTAAGTAATTGGCAAAGTCAGGCTGCTCCCTACACCCCAGGTGCTTCCAAAGGAGATGAGGTGGATAAATGCCCGAGCAGTGGGTGAACAAGTGGGCGCGGCACAGCGCGGCAGCCCCACCGCCACCCCCCACGCCGGAGCCCAGGCTGGGTCCCGCCCCGGCCCGCTTGGTGTCCTTGCTCAGGTTGCCGGATGCTCTGAAGCGCCGAGTCCCCAGCTGCCTGCACCAGATGCCGCTGCCGCAGCTGCAGCTCCGTGTGAGGACGAGGGCGTGTGCAGTGCAGCAGCTCTTTACAGTTTGTTGAATCTGAATTTCAGTCTTTGAAACAGTCTCACACTGTTTCCCGCCTGGCGCGGGCCGAGCTCTCAGCCCTGCACCCTGGGTCTCTCTGGCACCGCTCTGTGCGCCTGAGCCGGTGCGGGGCCGCCCGGGTTTGATCAAGAGGCGTTCACCACTTCCTGACAGACGCCGCGCCGTGTAATTCCCACAGTGGCGGGCGTTTTGTTTGTTTGTTCACCGGCGTCCCCAGCCTAGAGCAATGCTGATCCTCAGAGTCCCTTCATAAATACTTGTTGGATGGATGAACGAGAGGATATTCTGCGACTGATGGGCTCTCCAGAAGCCTTGTCAGAACCCTTTCCTTTGCACAGCGAGGGAAAAACAAACAGCTGTGGGCCCAGCGGCTGTGCTGTGCGGCCCTGAGCCGGAGCGGAGTGGCGGAGGCCGCCGGGGCCACGGAGCCGCGGCGCCGCAGTGCGGGACTGGCCTCGGACAACCACATCATGGACGCGGTCCGTGTCCCACAGCAGTGGAGCCAGCGGCCGACACTCGGGCCCTCAAACGGCGGCTCCATTTACAGCGGTGGAAGCCCCGGGGCTCCTTTGCCCTGGGCCCACCACGGGGCAAATCAGACTGAACCCCGGACAGGCTGACCTCTCTTCCCCCACCACTGGGCAACTGCTTCCCTGGGAAGCGCGCAGGGTGTGGTGCTCGGTTCGCTGGCAGCACAGAGGCCGGAGAGGGCTGCTCCGTTATGTGGCTTTTCTTTTTAACATTTTTATTGATCAGAGAGGAAGGGAGAGAAAGAGAGAGCTAGAAACATCAGTGATGAGAGAGAATCATTGATCGGCTGCCTCCTGCACATCCCACACTGGGAATCGAGCTCACAACCCAGGCATGTGCCCTTGGCTGGAATCGAACTTGGGACCCTTCAGTCTGCAGACCGACGCTCTATCCACTGAGCCAAACCAGCCAGGGCTGTTCACGAGTTTGACAGGAAGGTGGGCGGCGCCCGATAGCGCACACCCAGGCAGCGTTTCCGCTGCTTCTTGCTGTCCTGCCCTCCGTTTGCAGTCATGCGGGGGAGTGCGTGTTCAGGTGTCTACATGGCCCCACTACGTGACCTAAAACATAGACACACTAACACGGCGCTGAAGGGAAGTACACCCGAATGGTTGCCCGGTGCATTTCCTGTGACTAGAAAGTATTAGGAGAGATGTTCTTTCTAACCTTTTCTATTTCTTGGTTGCTAGGCAGCACATATTGTTTTTGTCGTAGAAATGAAATCAGATAGTGTCCTGTTGGAGTCTCCCAGGACGCCAGCCCCGCTAGTCTCCCCTCAGAGGTGGCGCCTCTCCGCTCTCATGGAAGGTCTGTGGCTGCACCCCGCAGGCTCTGGGGCCCTGGGGTCCAGCTACCTGTGTGGGCAGTGACTGGTCCCGTGGATAAATGGCTCCAGCCACCCCCCTCCCCCCTCTGCTGGACCTCATTGCTCACATGCATTTCACCCGGCGGGGCCTCGAGCCCCCGCTGCTCACCACCCTCGCTCTGTCTGCAGGTCCAGCCGCCCTTGCCTTGCCCACCGCCAGCCATCGCCAGGCCCACCACCCACCGGGTGCCCCACTTTGGAATTCGGATAGCGAGTCTGCCCTGTGCCTGTCCTGTGCCCCAGAGTAAATGTCCCTCAGAAGTGACCGGGCTGGAGTTGATTCCCGATTCGTCCCCTTCTGCCCCTCCAGGCACAGCAGGAGGGGGAGCAGAGCAGGTGGCAGCCCCACGGGAAAGGGACAGGGACATGGAGATTGGGGCTGACAGTGGCTCTGTCCCTGACCCTCGGAGCAGGAGGAAGCCATCAAGCCAGGACACAGGCGAAGGCACTGCCGAGACCTGGCAGAGGACCCCGTCCCCGCTCCCGCCCTGGCCTCCCGGCCCCAGCCTCATATCACCTGGGTCACACTGGGAAGAAGTAGTTGCTGCCTGCTCTGCCCAGATCCTGCCCCAGCAGCCGGGCAGCCAGACTCAGTTTCCCCGCCCTGGGGAACAGCAGCGGGACCACCCCTCTGCTAAGGGGAGTCTCAGTTATTATGGCAGATCGGCCTGTGGAGGCCCCAGGGACCGCCCCGTCCAGCCGCCCCGTGTCTGGCATCCCCTCCCTGGGTTCAGTCACAGAGCTGTTTCCCACCTGAGTGAAATGGGGGTGGCCACTCTGTCTCACAGGGTCTGCTAAGCTCGTCCAGGCTCCTGTCCTGATGGGAGCCCTGGGTGCTTCCCAGCGCTAAAGTGGGGACAAAACCCAGCCCCTGCCGATGCCGTGAGGGCTCCATGACGCACGGCCAGGCAGCTGCTCCCCCATGGATGTGGGGCTGAGCACACGCGCCCGGGTCGGGACGGAACCAGGTCAGCACAGAACGGGACTCTCGGGACAAGTGCAGCCTGTGCCCAGGCGGCGGGCAGTGCAGCCTCACTGCGCAACGTGCTGCCATCACCCACCTCCGGGTTTGGGGGGGATGACGGGAGAGGAAGCTCCCGGGCGCCCGTGAGCTCCTTGCACAGCGCGGGGCAGGCCAGGTGCCCGCAGCCCACAGACTGGCAGAAGCCCTCCGGTGGCTGCGGGGAGCAGGGGGCCGGTGGGTTCATGGCCAGTGCGCCCTCGGCCGCCAAGGCGCGCAGCCTGGACGACGGGCCGTGGCCCAGCCCTCCCACTGCACGTTCACCGGCTGCTGGTTTCTCTGATTGCTCATTCGGCCCCAAAACACAAGCAACCCGTCTCCACCTCTGCCCTGTGCGATGGCGGCGCCTGTGCCTCTGAGGGCGTCTTACCTGCCTCCTGAGCAGCGAGGAGGAAGAGGAGGCAGCTGCCGAGGCCGAAGCCAAAGCGGACACCGTGGGCCGGGCGGGCCATGTCGCAGAGGGTGGGCTGCTTGAGGCCGAGGGCTGGGATCCCCTCACCTTATACAGGG